AGATATCAGTGGAACAGTCATGGAACCACTAAAAAATAGCTAATTGTCATGCAAATTAGGTAATTAATGTGCACGGATTTTTACCAAAAACTAATCAAATCTGCGCATATGTTCAGAGCATCTATGTACCAAGTTTCATCAAAATCCAATTGGCCCAGAGCATCTATGCACCAAGTTTCATCAAAAACCGATGTATGGTTCTTGAGATAGCAGTCGGACACACATACACATTACACACATACACACACACACACACATACATACAGACACACTAACTGCAAAGACTCCCATTTTGTGCTTCGCACATGGGAGTCAAAAACTATTTTTTAGGAGGTTCACAGGAATGTCTGTAACTTAATCCCCTGAGCAAATATTAACATGAAAAATATACAATCGTATTCCCCTGTTCTAATCACAATTGCTACGTTCACACGACAGCATTTTATTGGAGCCCTACGGCTCGAGCCGGCTTGAGCCAGCAAATATGGCTGTGTATACACCTTCGGCTCGAGCCAAGTTTGGCTTAAACCCTCAGGGTTGAACTCCGATAGGGTTGAGCCCAACATGGCCCTGACTGTGTATATGCAGGGCCCAACTATCGGAGCCCAAATCACGCCTCAATCGTCTTTTCAAGTAACCTCTCATTATGGTGGAGACAACATCGTTCGTAACTTCACGCAACTCCTGATTTGACGAAGAGGTACACGCCCTAATATTTATTTTGGCGGAGTAAAGAAATACTGCGATAGATTGACAGATCAACGGGAAACAGCAAAATGGCATACGAAATTATGCGACAAAAACTTGAAAGAAGGACTGAACAGATCCAATGAAAAAGAAAAGAATGAAGAAACATTTTGAAGACACCAGAGGTAAAAATCATAGAAGTGGTCACGGCATGTTTCTAGTAGATTTAGCACGACACCAACATCATTTTCAGCCATGTTTTTTTTTGAGGGCACTGTTCCGTTCCGCTCTGATCGAACTGAATCGAACTATGGCAGATCTCGGCTCTCGTTCAGCTCCCGACCGTATGAACGCATTTGAGATAATCTCCTGTTTATCTGTGGGAGGAGTACTAGTTCGGCTCTGCCGTGTGAACATAGCAAATGAAATTATTAGTCCTCTTTCCGTCCTCGCTACCTTAAACCATGGAACTACTGGGG